TAATTTAGTTTTATTTTCAAACGTCACATCTTTTTTTTTTCCAACTTCTCATAGCCATAATTTCCTCATTTTTATACTGGTAACTCCCAATTCTAGACCAGACTATTCAACTCTAAACTTTTTAATTTATCACTTAGGAACCTCCAATTGGCTATCTCAGAGGCATCATGAAAGCAGTATGGCCAATACTGAACTCATCATTTCTCCCCTCTGACATATTCATCCTCCCTCTGGTGGCCTCTACCTTGGCCAATAATTCCAGTTGTTCCCTAACTTATTTACTGTATCTAATCAATGAACAAATCCTATTTATTCTAACTCTAAATATTTTTGAAATCTACCCCCTTTTTCAATTCCCATTGCCACTCCTCTCCCAGTCCACAATCATCTCCTACTAAAACAGCCTTGTAAGTAGTTCCTGCATTATGACCATTTTCCCCATTTCTTAAGAAGTATTTCAAGTTGACAAAATAAGAAAAAAAGCACAGTATAACAAACACTTATGTGCTTTGTCACTCTTAGCTTTGTCAAATTTTAATGTTTTGTCTTAAAATTTACTTCAGATCTTTTGAAGAAGTGAAGCATTAGAACTACAATTTAACTGTGCCTGATCCGTTCCTTTTCTTCCCTTTGCAGTAATTATCCTGAATTTGATGTTTATTATTCTCTTGCTTTGAAAAAATATTTTACTACATATACATGTGTAAATATATCATATGTAAATAAATTCTTTATCGTATGTAAATTTTTTAATGGTTTTAGACTTTATGAAAGTATTGTACTACCCATATTTTTCCTGCAACATACCCTTTTTACCCAATATTGCTATATTGTTTTGGGATTTATCCTTTTGATACATATAGCTCTAGTTTCATTAAATTATTTTAATAGTATTGACTGTTTCACTTAAGAATATGCCACAGTTTAGTTGTGTGTTCTCTGTTGCTGTACATTTAACCTGTTTCTCTTACACATAAATTGTAGTAATTGCTCTTCAGGTTACACCAAAAGTCTTGCTGGCATGTAATAAGAATTGCTTTGAATTTGTCATTAAAACAAAGAGAAAATAGTTAGTGGTAGTGAGTCTTCCCATCCATCAGCATGATAAGTCTTTCCAATTATGTTAGTCTCTTTTTGTGACTTTCAGTCTACTTATATGCTTTATAAAGGTTTTATGTATCTTGTGTTAGATTTATTCCTAGGTGGTTTAATTTTTGTTGTATAGTCATATCCTTTTGAAATTATTGTTTATTTTCTGGTGTATAGGAATGCAATTAATTTTTAAAATGTAGGACTTTTATCTAGTAACCTTGCTGAACCTGCATGTTAATTCTAATAATGGGTGGTAGAGTCTCTTGATACTATATAGAAAGTCATCCAGTGTGTACAAAATGATAGTTTTTTTCTTTCCAATCCTTCTATCCATTAGGGTTGATTAACTATCATGCTGCTATGGCTTGTCTCTTGAGTAAAAGTTGAATACAAGCGTTAATACTGGACATCTTTATCTTTCAGAGTGGAAGGGCATTGCTTATAATATTTCACCAATAAGTATATGGGTATTTAGAGGCGACCCTTTATCAAGTTAAGGGATTGATCTTCTATTTCTGATTTTATTCATATTCATGAGTGGAAGTTGGGTTTTATCAAATGCTTTTCTGTAATTATAGAGGTAATTTTAAGGTCTTTTAAAAAAATCTGTTAATATGGCGAATTACTGGATTTTCTAACACTAAGTTATACTTACATTCTTGGATAAACTTTACACGATTGTGATTTTAAAAAAAATACATTATTGGATTTGGTTTGCTAATTTTCTCAGCCTTATTGTGGTATAATTTATGTATAGTAAAGGTCACCCATTTAATGTATACAATTTGAGTTTTAGCAATGTATATATAGTGTGTTAGTGCCATTATTACAATCAAGATATGAAATACTTCCATCACCATAAAAAGATTTGTCATGCCACCTAATGTCCTCCTTTGTATTCAGTTTCTTCCCATCAGTCCCAGGCACCGATCTGCTTTTTGTCACTAATTTTGTCTTGTCTAAAATTTCATATAAATAGGATAATACAGTATGTAGTTTTGTTGTGTGTCTGGCATTTTTCACTTGGTCTAGTACTTCTGGTAATCATCCATGGTGTTGGATGCATTATATATCAGTAGTGTGTTCCTTCTTGTAGATGTGTTACAATTTGTGCTTCTTTGATGGCTAGTATGTCATGCATCTTTTTATGTCTTTATTGGCAGTTTGTATATCTTCTTTTGGGAATTGTCTCTTTAAATCTGTTTTGCACATTCTTTAAATTGTGTTGTTTGTTACTATCAAGTTTTTAGAGTTATTTATATGTTTTGGGTATCTCTATATCTGGTGTCAGATTGCACTGGTAGAAGATAGAGAAAAGAGGAATGACTAAGGAGGAAATTAGCATAATCATGAAACAAATGATCCTTCACAGGTATGCTGGTCATCTTTGAAGTTCTTAAGTTTCTCTGATTTTTGGAAGAACATCAGATAAATAGCCTCATTTTTGCAACTCCTCAGCTCTGACTTCATGTTGTTAGTGTTCTGTGTTTAAATAATGTGCTCTTTATGTAATTTTTTTGTTTTTAAAATAATTTTTCTATGTTATTTTCCTTGGAGATCAATAAGTAAAGGTCTCTTTATATCTAATCTTAAGAAAATAAAAATGCTACTCAGATGAACCACTTCAGTGGATGCTATAAAAAAGATTTTATAGGCATAGAAATAAAAAAGTAAGAATTAGACATCTGAATGTTTCCAGTTTTTAAATCAACCATAGCAGAGATTGGTGAACTATGGCACCCATTGCTTGTCTGCAAATAAAGTTTTGTTGGAACACAGCCCATTCCTTTTTGTATTGTCTAATGTGCCACCACAGCAGAGTTGAATAGTTGTGACAGAGACCATATGGTCCAAAATGCCAAAATACTTACTATCTTGCCCTTTGTAGAAAAAGTTTGCTGCTAATCCTTGAGCTGTAGAAATGTGTTAGATAAATTAATTTTCCAGTGTATTTCTGAATGTGGAATGGAAAAATTTGTTTTTTCAATCCCTGTTGTTAGTATATGGTAAAGCATTCATGTTGTTTTGAGTTCTGTCTTCAGGGTCCCTTGTAAAATATTTTCTTGCAGTTTCTTTACTTGAGTTCTTATGCCTCAGTTTTTGTTGAATAATAACTTATCTGTCATTATAAACTTATTGCTGGCTATTTCTGCATATGAAGCCTGCATGTTATTAGAAAGTTGCATGAGTTGCCAGGTTTGTGGCAGAGCTACAAGGATGGGAAATGCTCATGCTTAAGCATATGCTATGCCCATCATCCGTTTAGCCAGCCTTATAAGGCTATAAGTGCAACAGTAATTTTGATGTTCTTTCCTCTATCTTTAGCAGATTAAAATAGTTAGTTTTGGAAATGCTTCTCATCTTGCAGTTACACATTTAGAACATTTACCTATGCTTGGCAATGGTTAAAGAGAAACTGGTCAAGAAAACCTTTTTCCTGATTTTTTTCTTGGTTCTCATCCCAACTTTAGGGGCACTGTTCAAACTATATCCTTCATGCTTTTGTCCTTATGTGCTGCCTGGAAAGCCCATGTAGCCTTCCAAGTAAACTACTTAATGGTTTATAAAGACTTCCCTGGCTTTCATAAGTAAGTAATGCTTCTATTTTACTTTCTTAGTATTTTGTACACATTTAAATCTATCTGTCTTTCCCATAACTCAGAACCCTGTCTTCTTTTACCTCTTTCCCAAAGCCTGGCAAATACAGGGCAATCAGTAGCATGGGATCTAGAGAGCCTCAAAATTCAGCTACAAATGATTGGAAACAATGCAATTATTTATCAATAGAGGATTGTTTAAATAAAACTGTGGTACACCCCCATGATGGAATATCATGCATCTATCAAAAAAAAATGGTTGTGGAATTAAAAATTTCAGGATATACTGTGAAATTATAAAATGAAACAAAAAACCAAGGAGCAGTACAGTTTGTATGTGGTATAGATCAGTTACCTATTGGTCTACTGCTATATAACAAACCATGTTAAAACTTAGTGGCCTAAAACAATAAGCTTTTTATTTATTTATTTTTGCTTATGAGTCTGTGAGTCAGGAAATTCTCCTGCTCTTAGTTGTGCTCACTCATTCATATGTCTGCAATCAGCTAACTGCAGATCAGACTCATTAGGTTAGGCTTTCACATGTTTGGGGATCAGCTGGCCTTGTATGCTGATACAGCTTGTTTCTGCTCCATGTGGCCTCATCCTCCAGGAAACTAGTCTGGATTTGCTTTCATGGCAGGTTAAAGGTTCCAAGACAGGTGTAGAACTGGTACTCTGTCATTTCTATCACATTATATTGTCCAAAGCAAATCAGAGGGCCTGGCCAGATTCAGGGGATAGGGAGATAGACCTATTTCCTGATGCATTGCAAAAGGCAGGGCTACAGAGATGCCATTATTGGGGATACTCAGTTCAATGTAACTATGCTGCCTCTGTATAAATGGGGGTGGGGTAATATATTTGCTCATTTGTTCCCAGAGGAAAAATGGATAGATACACAAGAAACAGATTAAAATGGTTGCCTATGAGATGGGGTATGTAGGGACAAGAGCAAGGAGTATTTCTTTTTATAGCATTGATTTTTGAATGATATAAATGTATGTTTATAAATATACAGAAGAGAACTATCTACCTTTGCTTCTGTCCCACAAAATAATTCTTTAGACTGTCACAATTGTTTCTTAGTTTGATTTGTTTTAAAGAAACAGATGGTAATGGCTTCCTTGGTCAACTTGTTTGGAATGATCAGTATTCCTGTACTATGCATCTGACAGATTTATATATTCAGCTAATTTTCCTCAGGGAGGGTAATCAGGAGTGCTTGACCTTCTACCTTCTTCTACCTAGAGCTCAGCATAGATAAACATCTCAGTGGCCAAATAAAATTATTAATTCTGGTAGTTTTTTTTTAATATTGAATGCTTCCTGAATTTGCATGTCATCCTTACACAGAGTCTATGCTAATCTTCTCTGTATCATTCCAATTTTAGTATATGTGCTGCTGAAATGAGCACTCTAGTAGATTTTTAATCTGATTGAAGTAAATGTGTAAGAGTGTCTGCTGTGTTTACCAGCTATTATTACATAGGTTATGGTTCCCCTCACAGTAACCCTGTATTACAAGTGTTACCCCCAGGGACAGATGAAGAAAACCATAGTCACACAACAAATAAGTGATAGAGCATCCTTCACATCAAGTTCTCCTTCTTTCACCTAAACATTCTTCCCCCTTAGAGCCCTGAGAGTTTCCCTTCTTTCCAGTTGCTTGTGGGTAGCCCTTCCCCTCACATAACTGCATTTTTCTTCTCATATTTATACTTCTTCTATTTATTGTTCCTTTGTCAACCTCAAAGTAATTTTTTAAAAACTGTAAAGAAAAAGCAGTTTATAATTTGTAAATACCCTCATTTGTGAGCAATTTATTATGCAGGATTCTTCTCAGGTAGCGCTTGTCTGGGATGTTTATGTTTGTCTTTAGTATTACTTCTTTTAGTGCTACAGAATAATTCTACTCTTTAGTTTCATGTTTGATTCTTCAAATTTCTATGTGGGAAAAAATAGCACTCCTCTCACATGGAGAACTTTTTATTATTTTGTTCTCTTTTTTTGGTTTTCTATTTGCATGACATCCTTAGCAAATTATATACAATGAAGAGGTAAAATCATTATCCTGACATGGTTTTCCATGTTTCCTCCTCTTCTTTAGCTCAAATTGTTTGGCTTTATCTTTATGTAGTCAGGCTTTGAAGCATCAGCGATTTTGAAAATGCATGTGGCCATATTTCCCTATTTTCCAAATATTTAAAATAACGAAAGCACAGACTCATAGAGTAAATTATCAGTTACTTTGTACCTTAGAGTCTATATTTTGAATCAAGTTGAACCTTTTGGATAAAACTTAGAGTTATTTTAATTTTCTAGGACTGTATTCATCTCTTTGATGGTTGGAGCTGTAGTGTTTATGGGCACAAGTCACACTTAAGAAAAAGAAATTTCTTCTCCTTGAACTTTATCTAAGGTTCTCTGGAATTGAAAAGAGCTTAAAATATGGTTCTTTCAAGGGATTCAACTAAATGTTTTATAAAACATCAGTTTTATAAAAATTCAGAAATGAAGTCACTGTAAATATGATGACATTAAGGCATGCATTGGCCACTAAGCAGGGTTAAAATGCTTGTTATGGAGTGTACTTCTTATCCACCATCTGAGCAGCTGCTGAATTTGTCAGGTTATAAAGCAGGCTAGAGCTTTCACACCATGATGTGCATTCCTGCCACTCAGCTTCCAATAAATATACCACCTTATATTGTACTTGATATTTTTGCAGCTCTTAATTCTTGGATCATTCTGTGCAATGTCTCTGAAGTCACATGGATTGTTGATAGTATACCCATTTTCCATGAGGAGCAAATGCTAATATTAACTTGGACATAGGCATGAGGCTAGTTATGAAATCAGGACTTGACACTAGTCTTCATAGTTTTCTAATCATCGTTGTTGTTTCTTGAGTACCTTCTTTAAGGTATTAGGTATTATCTATAATCCTCACATCTTTCCTACCAGGTAGGTCTTACTATCTCTCATTTTACATATGTTGAAAATGAGGCCCAGAAAGGTGAAGTGATTTGGTAAAAGTCACGTGGGTTGTTAGTAATAGAATGAGGATTCACACCAAACCTCTCAGTCTCTGTATGCATGCTTTTCCTACTAGACAGTGTTGTTGCTTGAAACATGAGGAATAACACTAGTGTTGCAGGTTTGTGAGTAGTGATGTGAATAAGAGATGAGTAGTTTTTATCTGTAAACAGTGCTCTGGAGCCTGGATTTTGCCCAATATCCAAGCTTTCAGTTGGAATGTAATTCAGTGTTCATTCTGCAGTTGGGCTGCTCTGAGTTTTTCACTCTGCCAAGTGCTGAGTGTTAAAACACGTCTCACTGTTAAGCCCTCCTCAGGCCTTTGGCGCCCTTGCTGTAAAGGCAGGTGGTCTGAAGAAAGGCTCCCTCCAGGTTGTTGCACACTGTATACAACACATAACAGTGTGAGACAACTGTCAGTTCCTTCCTTCCTTTCTCCCCTCACCCTGCAGAAAGCTGGGCCCCAGATGGAAGAGCTGGAAACAAGTCAACTGTTCTTTGAAGGGCATTGAGAAAGCACTGTCAAGAAAAAAAAGGCAAACGCAATAGCTAATTAGTCCACTAATCAGACAGGGCGACCATCAATTTTACAAAGAAAATGTCCTGGACCAGAGAGATGGGAAGGGCTAGCAGAGTGTTGCCCCCATGACTCTCAGAGAGCTGCATGTTTTTGTCAGGGGATTTGTAACTTGGGGGCACTGCTTCCTTGACTGACTTTCTGTATTCATTATATCTCTTCCCCAAATGTGACCACTGCAAACTGAATGAAGCATACAAATAGTATTTGGGGATATTTTCCTCATTAGAAGGTGCCCTTGAATGTGCAAAGATGTGCCTTGTTGCCAGCGTCAGGAATGCTTTTATATGTATTTTGTTTATCGCTGTGATCTTAGTGAAAGAAAACTTTGCTTTAACATTCTCATTTGAACCTTTGGGCTCCATGTCTTGTACTTTAAATCGAAATCAGCAGCTATTGGAGAATAAATACATGGTACTTAAGTGAAAAGTTTGGAATATAGACGAATATAGCTCAATTTAAAGGTGATTATGGTAGCCCTGGCCCTATGATTAACCAAGAAGGTAATAAGTTCCCTTTATTGGGAAAAAATAACTTTTTGAAGATATTGGAATATTATTCTTCATTTTCATGTCTTACCCATATTAGCTCAGACCTAATTTTAATGTCATTAAATTTAATCTATCTATTCTCTCTGGAATTTGTTGCTATCTAGTGTTAAAAAACTGCTTGTTATGAATTGTCCCCATAGATGAAGGATGAAGTACCCTGTGCTTTAGTTTAGAATAAGCTCTCATTTCTTTCTGTTTTTGGTTTTTTTTTTAACAAGATAAAATTTAATGAAAATTGGTCAGTGTACTTTTCCTCTTTTTGGACACTATACATCATAAATGACGTTCCTGCTATCAGAGATACTGACTTCACTTCTTTTTTATTACTTAGAATTATTGATTTATATACACATTTGTTATTTCATCATTTATAGTAATTTATATACAGCTGATTTTCCATGCCGTGCACTTGATGCTCAGTAATCTGGACAGTACCACATTAGCCTTCTCCCCACTCCCCCACTACTTTAATTAATTTATAGGAAGTAAAGAAAGAATGCAGTTGAGGTAAGCTGGATTTATAACCTAATTTCTTCCTTTCTCAACCACTGTCCTCACTATTAACTCCTGAACATGCTGCCTTGTTAGTTTCCTAGGATTGCCTTAACAAAGTGCCCTAGACTGGGTGGCTTCAGACAATACTATTCTCTCACAGTTCAAGGTATCATCAGGGTTAATTACTTCTTGGGGCCTCAGTGGAGCAATCTGTTCTATACCTGTCTCCTAGTTTTAGGTGGTTGCTGACAATCCTTGATATTCCTTGGCTTATAGATGGCACCACTCCAGTCTTTGCCTCTGTTGTCACATGGTGTTCACTGTGTGAGGCTATGTATGTCTTCACGTAGTCTTCCTCTGGGTATATGTCTCTGTGTCTTTTCTCCTCTTCTTATAAGAATATCTTTTATATTAGATTTAGAAACCACCTAGATAATCCAGGATGATCTCATCCTCTCAAGTTCTTTAACTTAATTACATCTTCAAGGACCCATTTTCCAAATAAAGAAATATTCACAGTTTAAGGTATTAAGAGGTAAACATATTTTGGGGGCTACCATTTAGCCTATTATACTAAGTAAGCATCTTTTTAACTTCTCAATCCTCTAGGAAAATATATTGGTATTTCAAATTGTTGTCACTTTTTATTATCTTATAGAAAATTCTGATTCCCATTCCTTCCATTCTCTACAGTTGGTCCTGAGAAAAGGGTTCCAGCAATGCCTGGGTCGCCTGTGGAAGTGAAGATACAGTCAAGATCCTCACCTCCCACCATGCCACCTCTCCCACCAATAAATCCTGGAGGACCCAGGCCAGTGTCATTCACTCCTACAGCATGTAAGTCCTCTTAATTACTTGGGCTTGTGGTTCAGAGTGACTTTGGATCTAAGTGAATGCCATTAAGCCTTCTACATATATTACTCAACATTTTCAAAATAGCTATTAAGATAGATATTTATATACATACACACACATATCTAGTTCTTTCCTTTTATAAGTTGCTTTTTCCCTCTGAGAGTAGTACTTAGCTAATTTAGATATTTGGAAATTTAGTCTAAATATTTTGTTTTCATATGCTTTGGCTTGCAAGCAGCTATTTTAATTTCTTTGGCTCCAAAATAATTTTAAATTATTATATTGATTTATAGGAGTCAAAAAGTAAGTTTCATAAAATTATTGAACTACTACTGAATTTGAAAAAATCTTTAAAAGTTTGAAAAAAAAGTTTTTAAAAGTTTTTAAAACTTTGCCAGCTAAGTTTTTAAAATTTTTGTTTGTGGCAGAGTTCATAAAAGCTTAATCTATGGTATACACAGATGTGTAAGTGTTTATCAAGAAATAGACAGTCTTTCAAGGCAGTGCAAATATAGAAAGAAATAAGTATAATTTGGTAAGTGAAATAATGGGAGCATGTACATAGGCAGCACAGAGAAAAGTTATTAAATCTACTAGGAGAAGCAGAGTCTGTCAAAGAATGCTTCTTAGTACAGGTGATACGTTTTTAGACCCAGTTTTACTTAAATTTTTAAGCCTGAGTATGATTAAGCAAAAATCTATTAACACTTAGGCACTAGGTAATTTTATTTCATTGTTCAGCGAAGAAAGGGATTTTTACTTAATACCTATAAGAACATAGCCCTAGAGTTGTGTTCCAAATTAAAACTACAAGAAATGAGTGTTTAGAACAATGGGAAAATAGGGAAACTGTAATTAATCACATATATTATAATTTGAGGAGAAATACAGGATGGAAGTG